TCACCTTTAAATAATATACAAACTTACTTCCTCTCAAAGTGTAAATTCTTCATTTTCACTTTCTATTATTTTGATAAATCTGGAATTAAAAAACTGAGTTTTTTTTAATATTGGTCAAATAAAACCTTTTAAAACTCTTAAAAACCAATCATACGAGGTAGAAGTTTAACTAAGATTAAAAAAAAAAGTAAAAAACACAAAAAAAATTGATTTAAATTTTTTTTCGCCCATTTTTTACTTAAAATTGAAAATACGTATACAAATTTTAACTAATTATTTTATTTATTTTGAAAATTATATTCTAGAAAGGCAAAAATTTATTTCAGTGCGTTTTTTATTAATTTTATGTACTTTTTTCGTTTTAAACACACTCAGGTTGTAGAAAAAAATCTATTATGTCTTAAAACGTCAAAAAGAAAGATTAAATTTATCAAAAAATCGCTTGTGCATAAAAATTTTTTTGGATTTTTTCCCCTTTTTGACTCATTCCTGCGATTTTAAGATTGAGTAACATTGAAAAATGTGACAGATGAAATTTTTGTGAGTGTTGCCAACTTAATTTTTAAATCGTTTTATTACACTGATATTTGATATCAAAATAAATGATAAAAGTGATTGTTGCTAAGAAAATTTCTTTAACAGCAGGGTCGCCAACTAAAGAATGTGTATTCGAATATTAAAAATAATATTTACTAATTTTGTTTTTTTAGAAAGGCAAAAATTTGTTTCAGTTCATTTTATATAATATTTTTTAAGTCTCAAATAAACTGACGGTTGTATAAAAAATTCTATGATTTTTTAAACAAGAAAAGAAAGATTACTAAAAAAGTTGCCAACATTAATTAGTGTTTTTTATTAATCAATGTTGTCAACTTATTTTCACAAATCACTTTGACCCAAAATTAAAGACACTATGCTTTTTGTGTTGGTTATACTGATTATACAATTTCAAGCAGCAGTGTTACCAAATGAAAAATTAAATTTTTGATCACAATAGTCTCTAATTTTGTAACTAAGTTGGCAACACTGGATAATGTATGGAGACATAGGTGTTTATTAAACATTGTTGCCAACTTATTTTCAGAATCATAGAGCACTTTAACCCAAAATTTAATTGTTGATTTTACTGATTTAGTAACAGTGTTACCAACCGTAAATATTTTTTTTATATATTTAATGTAATTTTTGCTAATTAATTTTTCTGTAATGTCATTTTAAGGCGGTTTATTTGAAATATTTAAAAATTTTCTAGTCTACGTTTTTTTGGGCGGTTTGACCTCTTTGCTCGACCTCATGATAACCATGCAAACAGCCCAATTATTCGAAAATGGGGAATACATCGTGATTTATGTTGACACAAACACCTACTCGGAAAAAGAGGCTCACAAATACATTTGGAGTGAGTTTTTCCCCCAATTTTAACCCCAAAATAGCCAAATATGTTTCCAGAACCGGCAATTTTCGACAAATACGAAAATTGTTTAAATAATGATTACAACGGACTACTGAAACGTGGCAAATCCTTATTTGTGGTAGTACCAACAGCACCGACTGAAAATTATGAAAGTTTCACTGAAAAAGTCCGGTATTACAATTCGCGAGAACCTTTCAATTTCGAAACTTCCGTTTTGCTGAAATCGTTCGAAAAGGTGAGTTTCAGGTTGATTTCGACTGTTTTTTTTGAAATTTTTTTCAGTATGTGTCAATTTACGCCGCCTACTTGTACGATTCGTTCAAACTCTACGCAAACGCTCTTCACAAATTGTTGTCCGAAGAACCGGTTTTAACCGACGAACTGATCGACGAAATCGCGAGTAATGGGACCAAAATCGTCGAAACCATCATCCGAATGAAAACCTACAAGAGTAAAAGCCCAAAAACCTGAAAATTTGTGACTTTTGTGGATTTTCAGGCATCACCGGCGCCACCATGAAGCTGGACAAGAACGGCGATTCGGAGGGAAATTTTTCAGTTTTGGCTTTTCAGCCCGTGAGCGGCGACCAGCACGTCCATGGAAATTTCTCGTGTCCGTTTCAGATGCGGCCCGTGGGTCAGTTTTTCCAGCAATCGGGCGATTTTCCAGTGAGTGAGTTTGTGTTTGAAATTTTCAATGTTTCACCCTTCAACTTGGTGGTTTTTTCCCCCGAAAGGAGTACAAGATTTATACCAACACCCAGATCCAATGGGCCGGGTCCGATAAGCCCAACGATGAGCCCAGTTGTGGGTTTAATAACGAATTGTGTCCCAAACCCAACACCCATCTTAATAGTATCATAGCGGCGGGGGTTTTGGCCATTTTGCTCTTCTGCGCGGGGGTTATCACGATGAGTATTTACAGGAAATGGAAAATCGAGCAGGAAATTGAAGGGCTTTTGTGGAAAATCGACCGCAGTGAGATACACAGCTACTTTGAGAGGGATATTGTTTCTAGTCCAAGTCGGGTAAGTGACACTTTCTGGGCCTTTTAATTTAGGAAAAGTAAATTTGAAATAAGTAAAAAAATTGGGGGGAAAACTGTTATAAATTTAAGCTTGGATGTGTGAAAAATTGAAAATTTGTAAAAAGTTGACGATGAAAAAGAGTGAAAAATTGAAAAATTTGTTAAGATTCTTGGTATACTTTTTTTTAATTAATTTTTTGA